AAACGATCTACAACATATTAACGCCAAACATTCGGTAGAATTTATAGAATATTGTACAAACACACATATATATATATATATATATATGTGTGTGTGTGTGTGTGTGTGTGTGTATCCATGGCTGTATCATTTAAAACACTGGAAAATGAACAAGTACCAGTTAGTGAATAAAAAATTTGTGTTTTTCGTTGCGATATCAACACATAAAATCTATTATATTTAAAAAATTATTTGTAAAGTAGCATCTCCATTATAAAAAGGTGGTGATATTGTTATATTAATGGTTGATGGACGAAATTGGTAGCAACGATGATACTCGGAGTCTTTGATTGAAATAATAGTAATGATGTTAACAGAGTCGACGACGATGATGATGATAGTACTGATGGAGATGACGTCATCATCATTTGATTGACGCTTCGAACTGAACCAGTCTGGCAGTGACGTCGGCGGGCATTCTGTAGGGCATGGAGCCACAAAAGGACACCAGACAATGCATCTCGTATCTGTACCTCCTCAGAAGCTGTTTGATTGGTTGGTTGAAAAAAGTTAATTGATTGGTTGATAAGATTAGAGAGTTGATTGATCGATTAATTGAATTGAGTCAACTGATTGCTGCGTTATAGTCAGTTAGTTACTTACTTGGCCGATTATAATTAGTATGCATTAACATAATTTATATGCCAATAAAACCAATAGGAATTTAACATAATCAAATTGGAGAATTAATGTATGAATAAACAATTATAAAAAACTATTATACGTTACATTGTTACTGGTGGCAGGGTCGTTAACGATGGGACCGCTGAGTTTATTCAAATCTGCGCCCGACCTATGTTTAAATTATAATTATGAAATTATAATTATGAAATTATAACAATATTATCGAATTTTAATAATAAATATGAATTATCACAAGACGGTAGGTAATCTCAAACAACGAGCCATTCGTAAATGAAAGTGAAAAGAATGTAAGAATCTAGTCGTAGAACCCTCAGAGGACTTTTATAGATATCAAATTATACTAACATGACTCGATTGAACAGCTGGGTAATTATGGTGGCAGTGGCCAGCAGTACATTAGGAAGACACCTCCTAACCTCATCTGACAAGGTCCCCACGTTCTTCAGTCTATCCTCTAATGAGTCTTCGGTCAGGGATATTATCTTCAACTCCTTTATCACCTGTTGATTTAATTCGTTCATGTGTTTTTATATTTTTTATTCAATCAATTCAATCATAAGATCAATCAATTGATTGATTGATTGATATCATGACTGATTGATTTTGTTGACTGACTGATTGATTGATTGATTGATTGACAAATAAGCAAAAACTTATTTATGCATGTGGATTAACGCGTGATGAAGAGTTGATTGCATGTTGGCGTTACCAAACGATATTAATTGGAGATATGATTGATTGATTGGCTGACTAACTGGATTGATTGATTGATTAAGAAAAAAAAAACAATTGATCAACTGATTGACAGACAAAACAAAAATAGATAATATTTGCAGACATTGTAAGCATCTTCAATGCAATTTTCGTAGTAGTAACTGAAAAACGTCATGAGGTCAAGAAGCAAGTGGAACGTTGCTACGTTAGGAATGGATGCCGTACCGGAGCCCTGCTGTGAGTACCTTGGCAAAAAAATTATTAATTATTATGGATAAAATTATTAATTATAATTAATTAAAATTATTATTTTAATTACGATAAGGATAATAGATATAGTAATGGTTTGTGATTACTTGATTATTATCGAAGAATGAATTTAATTAGGTTGAGTATGTTTTATTGATCAATCAGCCAATCAATCAATAAATCAATCAATCAAAAAAAACCAACCTCTCAGCTACAGAGATGGCAATTTTTTTGATGTTGTCACTTGACCGTCTAGTAGGAGATGATATAATTTGAGACAGTAATTTGTTCAACAGGTCGATCACTTTTGTCTGGTTCTGTGAAGAGGAAACGAATCAATCAATTAATCAATCAATACATTAATCAATCAATAAATTAATCAATCAATAAATTAATCAATCAATAAATTAATCAATCCTTAATCAATCAATCCTTAATCAATCAATCGATCAATTTATCTATCTATCAATCAACTGATCAATCATCAAACAACTAATCAATCAATCATTCAACCAACCAATCAATCAAACAAACCTTGCAAAGATCATACAAGATGACCGCATCATTCAACTGACCAGTACTCTCAAGCTCTTTAGCAACCTTAATAAACGAACAATAATAATAGTAATAATAATAATAACAATAGTAATAATAATAATAATAATAATGATGATAACCTTTTCGATAATTTTGTTGACATTGACATTCAACTGATCAAGTAGCCCCGGCTTCCTTGAACCATCCAACTGCAACTGGCCCAGCAGAAGATCATACTGCAATTAAACATTATAACTATTATAATAATAATAATAGAAATATAAATATAATGACATAATACTTAACTTGACCCAATTACATACCTCTCTGGTGTTGATGACAACTTCACTGATGCACGAGTCGAACAAATTATCTCCTTCCTGATTGGTCAGATCGTTCAGGAGGTAATAATAATGGACGGCTTTGATTGGGTTGGAGCGTTCAAATTTTGAAGCGTACAGCATGATTAGTCGCGCGAAATTCAGTCGTCTGATTGGGTGGCCGTCTGATTGGTCTCTCGTTACTGAGTCGGAAGATTCAATGATTTGATTGATTAATCGTTTTCATTATTTTATATCAATCAATAAATAAATAAACAAACAAACCAATCAAAATAACCAACCAACCAGTCAAATGAACTAACAGAGATGGGAATTGACATTAGCAGGCAACAGCAGGAGGTTGCAGGCATTCATGACGATGGCAATGTGAACGGACACATCCCGGTAGACGTCGAATCTCGATAGAAACTCAATGGCTGCCTCGAAGAGACCAACTAGCATGAGAATACGGAAGTAGAGTAACGGGTCCTGACTGGCGTTGAAGTGGTTTTCTCCTAATTTTAGGAAGGTGAACATGGCGGGGATTACCAGTTTCGAAAAATATTCGTAACATAAATCGTCAATCTGTTAATGTTCACTTTTAAAAAATTTAAAAAAATGATATTTCATAAAAAATGATGATATTTCAGAAATTCAAAACCGAACCATAAGTCTCAAACAACATGATCTGTAGCTGGCCCAGTGATAAAGTATCAACGGCTCCATCATTACCAAGACTGGCGTTAAGTGCACCTGCACTGCTGTTAAGTGCACTGATACTACTATTAAGTACACCAGAACTATTGAAACTGTTTGAGAAGTCGTTACTGTCGAGAGCGACGACAACTTGTGAAAGTTTCAGCCACAGGTAATCATCCGTTGTCGTCGCTACATCGGCGTGATCGTCATTACAGTCGCATCTGCCTACTACACAGTACACAATTCTGGTGGTGTATTTATTGTTTGTTTGTTTGGTGTGTATTCAACTATTTTTCAGCTATAAGTATATATAACAAACACACGTTTAGACGACATTTTCCCCGAGATCGGAAACCCGTGTAACCCGTTTGGCTACCTATGGTGAAACCGAAATACCCCTCGACGCCATTCCATCATAAGTAATTTATTTGGCTAATTTTTAAGCAGGACGCCCTTCCTTACGCAACCAGTTATAAGCGGTGGGCCTAGCCTTTTATGATCCAACATCACTCACAAGGCAGTGAGGGTCAGTTTAATGTCATAACCAGGACAAAGCTATAAGTATATATAACTCTGGAGAAATACAATGAGTATTTATTTAGTAATGTTCGTTGAAGTTTAGTATGAATTAGGTGAGAATTTGTTACAAGCGAGGTGAAAACCTATTTCCATACCTACCTCTTATATGGGTCCTTAGATGAGGAAATGGTTCTCCTATACTGCAATCTCACTTCTCTTTCAGAGCCAGCCGACAATCTATAGAATGGTTACAAAAAAAATTAATGATATTTTTTCTCATTTAGATCCTGACAATTGAACGAATATTCATTTTACAAAATTGAAAAAAAAACTTGACGAATGAATTGGTGATGGAACTGAAGGGCAATGAATGAGGCAGATAGTGTAGCTACTTAACCTTCTATCATCTGATGAGGTGTACTCTGTGAGGTAGTTTGCAAAATCGCCAATGACGTTTCTGTGTTAAGTGAGATGTAAAAATGAAAACAAACAAACGAATAAACAAACATACGTAAATGAACGAACGGATACAAACAAACGTGCATAAAAATGAACCAACAAATAGATACAAACAGATATATATATATATATATATCTATACAAGCTAACAGACATAAAAACAAAACTGCAGATCAACAGGTCACTTTTATATAATCAATCATCCAATCTATCCCCCAGCCAATCAACCAACCAGCCAATCGACACTCAACCAACCAACCGACAAGCCAATCAAAACATAAATCAAATACTCAAAAAAAAGATCAAACCTTGATTTATTGATAACTTGATTGATAGCTGCCTTATCGCCAGATCTCAAACAGTGATACACAAAGGCCCAGGCAGGATAGCCATCAATCAAATCATTCTAAGAGGATCAAATGAATTGTAGATTAAGACTAAACACAGCCAGCAAACCAACGACCAACCAACCAACCAACCAGCCAGTCAGCCAACCAGCCAACCTCATAGCTAGCACCACGTCCACCGGCACCGAACTTAATGTTGAACAAACTCTTGATGAGGTTGTAGGTGCCAGGTATTCCTCCCCTCTGAGCATATTGCAAGTTCATCGACACCAAACGTTCCATCTGTTTGACGTTACTGTACGTCAATAATATAATTTGGAGAAACAAATTTGCTTAATTTGGAAAAAGAATTAGGTATAAATTTTTGTAAAATTTTGCGTAAATTAATATAACTAGGAAGTATAAGCAGGTATTGCTGTGTGTTGTGTGGTATTATATAACTATAAATATGGTGTAATTAGTGTGTGGAATGATATAAACTCGGGTGTAAAATATAATTTGGTATGTACCCCGTCATAATTAGAAGTATTATGTATAGATGGTAAGCAGAATTGGGTACAAGATGATTTAACGATACGGTATGGTAAGAGTTGTGTATTGTTTTGTAGTAAAAAGTCTTATAAATTGGGTACAAATTAAGTGAATTTCAATAGATTTTGCACGTTTTTTCAAGGTGAGAGAGAGACTGGCGAATGAGAGACGACTGGTAAGATGGTGAGGATCTGTGAGAGGAAGAGAATTTATTGGTTGATGTGCCCGTAATGCTTGACAGGCTATCCACCATCCACCATGTTTCTTGCAGGTTCTGTCAATCAATCAATCGATCGATCAACCAATCAATCAATCAACCAATCAATCAATTAAATAACCATTCATTCATCCATTCATTCATTATTCATTCACTCATTTCTTCACCCAATCAAATTTATTTCCAGACTGCATATACTTTTTCTACATTGTTTATTTATTTATTGAATTACGGGTGCAGAAAGTTAGTAAAAATTTTTCATTTATTGCCAGTCATTAATTTCAAATTGTTCATTTTTTCACCATAATCATCATCACCACCATCATCAACATCACCACCACAATCATTATCATTATCATCATCACTATCATCATCACTATCATCATCACAATCATCATCACAATCATCATCATTAAAACCATCACTATTGAAACCTGATCATCGAGTTTTTTAATGGCATCCAGTAAAACATTCCTCGCATCGGCTTTCATGGAAGACTCGTTGTACTGCTGTATCTGCACGAAATAGATAACGTTCTAAAATTAAGCAGTTAATGATGAAATTATTAATAATTATCAATCTAATGTTCATTATAATTGAAAATAAAATTGATTTTTATAAATAAAGGAACAAAAAAGTAGAAGCGCATAATCCCATCATGTATCATGCACACATTGTATGTATGAGAGAAACTCCGACCCTACAATACAACGAGCAACTTAATCATTACGCCATTTTATTATAACTATAATTAACAATAGTAATAATAATTTACGAGTTAATTATGACTAACAAGATTTCCAAACAGGTTGACATCACCCATCTGCTCCTCCACTTTTCTGCAACTAACATCCATGGGCATTGTCCTACTAAATGACTGCTCTGAAACCTGCGTAAAAGATAATTAAAAATTATTATAAATAACGTAATAAACGTTAATAATTATAAATAATATAATAAATGTTAATAATTATAAATAATATAATAAATGTTAATAACTATAAATAATATAATAAATGTTAATAATTATTTATAGAAATTGGAAGATAATAAGAATAGTAACATTTTGAACGGTGGAAAAATCTAGATTTTCATCTGCCAAATCTACCAGAGAGTTCATAATTTTTCTTTTCTCCTTCTCCCACTCTCTCTCGTGCATCTCCCAATGCGCTTCAGTGGCCTCCTCAAATGTCTGAGTGTCAAAGTAAGTATGTGTGTGTGTGTACTGTTGTATGTATGCAAGTGTGTATGTATGTAAGTATGCATGCATGTATTGTATGTGCATGCATTGTATGTGTATATCTAAACATGCATGCATTCATGTATATAGATACGTAAGCATGCATGTGTGCATAGATTTAGGTAGTAGCAGTATGAAAATAGAAAATGAATACTTTTTTCTTTGTATGTTCGACTGCTGTTAGAACTGCATTCTCGTATTCATTTTTTAAAAAAGCCTATGGTGAAAATACATAAGATAAATTCAATTTTTTTTTCTATGCCATGTAATTAAAAATGAATTTAAATAGTAAAAATGTAATATGGAGACATGGGCAGACAGTAAAGTAATAGATGGAATAGATTCTTTTTAATTTTTAATTAAGAATTATAAATAATCCTTTAATTAATTCTACAAAACTGTAACAGAAAAAATTATAAAAAACTGAAAATAACCTGTATGTCGACATCTTTTATCGGTTCCAGAGGTTCAAAAGTTTTTGTCCTGTTCAGACTTTCCAACTTTTGAGTAGATTTGCTGACATCATAACCACGGGAACTCAGTAACAAGGCCCTAATAAATGAAATAAATCAGAATTTTTTAATTATTTAGGGATGGGTAGCACATACTTTTTGACAATTTAAAAAATGTTAATTAGCACAAACTAAAGAAGTTCTCACGCTTTGATGTCAGTTTTTTCTGCGTTAAATGACGGGGTCTTCGTGGCCATTTTAAAGGCGGCATCACGGATTTGAACTAAATTTCTTTCGATTCTCGGAAAATCCTCCCCAATCTCCATTTCCGCCCTAAGTTTGTGCGTCTGATTCAACAAATCATCAAAACCGGTCGACATTTTGGCAGAAAATGTTTACTTAATTCGCCGAACCTTAATTTCGGAAATTTGAAAAGAAAAACAAATGAGAATGTGTTTTATCATGGAAATTAACATTTAGTCTAGTTTCAATTTTGTCAGTGATGTCCCCGTACATTGTAACGTAATGTAACATCAACTCAATCAATTAGCTTATAAAGCGCTATTTCCGCAATGTTCAACAGCGCTCCTCAATGAATTTTGAAAACAGATGGGTCTTGAGATCCGCTCTGAACTTTGCAAGTGATGGAGAAGTAGTCAGAGAAGTAGGTAGAGAGTTCCAGAGAAAAGGACCAGAAAAAGCAAAAGCAGATTTGGCAAAAGAGTGTTTAACACGAGTTAAGAAAAAGCGAGAAGAAGACTATCGTAAACCGGGGCGTTTAGGTTCAATTAATATATCTGATAAATACTTAGGAAATAATTTAGATTGAGACTTATACATGAACGTGCAAATTTTAAAAATTATTCTATATTTTATAGGTAGCCAGTGCAAGAGAACAAGATATGGAGATATATGAGAAAAGAAAGGGGCACGAGCAACTAGACGAGCAGCAGAGTTAAAAGCTTTACTTAAAGGATAGAGTATAGAGTCAGGAAGACCATAGTAGAGCGAGTTACAATAATCAATCCTAGATAAGACTAACGAAGTAACAAGAAGAGTAGGATCATCAAGAAAAGGCAAAAGTTTTTTTATTCTACGTAGATGAAAGTAAGAGCTTCTAGCAACACTATTAATCTGAGAAGAGAGAGACGTAGTAGAATCAAAGATAAAACCTAGACTACGAAACTTATGAGAGACATCAAGAGTTTTAGAATCAGGTAAGATAATAGGAGGAATAGTAATAGAGTGTTTAGATTTATTAAAACAAATTAATTCAAACTTAAAAAGATTAAGTATAAGACACATAGAGTCAGACCAAGTCAGACTCAACGCATATACCATGATATAAATACATCTATTTATGTAACACAACTGCAAATGCACTAAATCACTTTTGTTAGATAACAGCATGTTTAAAAGTATATTTAAAACTAAAACTTACATAGAAAACACAATTTACTAGAAATATAAATAATAAAAATTAAATTTAAAGTTTAAAAGCTGGGCAAGTGAGCAAGGAAGCTTTTTCTGTTTTTAAAATATAAAAACATAGGCACTCTAAATTATATGCATATATATATATATATATATATATATATATATATATATATATATATAGAGTTATATATATATTCATATGGGTATGTATATATATATATATGATATATATATATCATATATATCGTCATCACTTAGATATCCTGAAGAAATATATGGTATATGTATGACATTATAATAGTGATGAGATATATATATATATATATATATATATATATATATATATATATATGGTGATATATATATATATTCATATGTGTATGTATATATATTTAATGACCATATAAACAATAAAAATATTAACAAAACAAGATAATAATAATCCTACGGGGGCAGTTAAAGTGTTTTGGTCACATCATGCGGAAGGTGGGGGGGCGGGTGGAAATGATTGAAAGAATGAATGAGTGAGTGAAAGAATGAATGAGTGAGGGCAAGGTGAGAAGATATCTGAGTAAATAAAGGTAAATGCGAAAACAAAGACATCATGTATTATATATATATATATTATTTATATACATATTGGATTAAGACTGTCAGAAATGCAATTATTGATGGAAATCACAGCATGTTCCGCGTTTATATATATAATAAATACATATATGTATATATATATATATATATATATACCAATATATAAAATAAACATATATGTCTATAAATGTCAGTAAGTGAATAACATTTAAAAAATATATAAAAGGTAAATGCAAATTTTATCCTTCTAGTTAAATTGATTGATTGTTTTTCTTCCTTTTGTTCTCTCACTTTTTTCCCTCCCTCTCTCTCTTTCTCTCTTTTTTCCCTATATCTCTCTCTCTCTCCTCTCCCTATATATATTTTTATACTGTGCCTATTTATTGGTTCATTGTTTATTCAAAGTGAATATTTAGTTTTACAATCTTTCTTTCAACATCGTAAAACAAAAACACTTTCATCCTTTTAGTTAATATATATGTATATAAACGTTTAAAAATTAAAAGGCAACAAAAAAGCGATAACCTAAACACTACTAAAATCTAAAATTCCTAATTTCACATGCAAATATACAGGAGCACACACACACCACACTTACACACATACAAACAAACAAACATATACAACCAACTTCAAAATTTCAACTTCAAAATTTTGAATTTAAAAGGAATGAAATAAAAAATAAAATGAAAATGATATGTCATATATTTGTGTCATTATTTTGGTCATGTGTTCTCTCTCTCTCTCTCTCTCTCTCTCTCTCTCTCTCTCTCTCTCTCTCTCTCTCTACATATATATATAATATAGATAGATATATATATATATATAATTATATAAAATGACGATAATAATAGTATTAATAATAATAATAGCATTAATAATAGAATAATATTGATAAAAAATACCCTAGAATTATCATCACGAACGTCGTCGTCATCATCCATCTTATCATCGGCCTGCACCTCTTCATCATATCAATAATGAACGATAATAACTTTAATAATAATAATAATAGATCAATCCATAATAATACTAATAATGAATAATAATAATAAATAATAATAATGATTATTAATAATAATAGTAGTAGTCTTAGGAGTAGATGGTGATCACTTCTTTGCCACTTCCCCTGATCATGACCAGCTGATTGAGGCCGTCGGTCAATACTTCAATATAATCCATGTCTAGGAATAATAAAAATAAATAATTAGTAATTAATAATAACAACAACAACAACAATAATAATAATAAAACAATCACCAACAATTCTCCTCTCCTGATTGGTGCTTAGGAGGCGGGGGGAGGTTGAGGATGATGAGCTTGGCCATTGATGATTTCTCCTTGATATTCTCATTTAGACGAACGGCCGAGTGCATCTTTCGAACGTTCTTTGACTTTCTAGGGGCGTCGATGGTGATTCATGATAATTTTGAATCCGTACTACTTACTGCTACTACCACTGCAGCTGCTGCTGCTACCACTGCAGCTGCTGCTATTACCACTGCTACTGCAACTGCTAATAGCTGCTGCTGCTGCAGCTACTAGCAGCAACTGCTTTCACTTTCACCACTTCTCTTACTATTACTACTATCTACTATTATTATCACTGTTAATAAAATATAAAAATGAAATAGCAAACAAATTAACTAGTAAACTAACGGCTTCTGGTTGATGAGCATGTCCTTTAATAAGTGAGCGCTAGATGAACTGTAAGTATACTGAGTACCGTCCATCGCTGTTTCTTTACTGGCGGTTATTTCCGGCACTTTTAAAAAGTCCTGTTTCCGGTTTAGATCAATTATCTGCTGGGGCTTTAAAACGGATTAGTGATGTGTTACTTTCGTATGCGAGAATAATTTACTTTGAATTATTTATTCATCTCTTCACCATTCATTCCTTCATTCATCCATTCATTCATTCAATTATTAATTCATTCATTCACCGGTTCATTCGTTCATTCATTCCTCCATCCAACTATACAAAATTTCAATTAATATAACACTATAAAATATATAAGTATTAATAAGTACAATATTAACTAATAGTAATATTATTGTTAATAATTAAAAACAACAACGACGACAACAACAACAACAACAACAATAATAATAATAACTACTACAACAAAAACAACAACAATAATAACGTCAATATGTGCACTGGCATCTGATTTGATCTGCTTGAGCATCTCTGACCTCTGCTCCATGATTAACGTACGCTCGTATGCGTATGCACTGATGTCTTGTGAGTGCTGCGTGTGTGGGCGAGTGAGAGATTGAATGAAGGAATGAATGAATGAATGAGTGAGTGAATGAATAAATCGATCAATCGATCGATCGATTTAACGATTAGTCAGTCGGCCAGCCAATATGCAAATGTTAATCGATCTGTCAGTCATTATTCAATAAATCCATCCATTCATTCATTTTCATTCATTCAAGCATCCATCTATCCATCTATCTATACAATTCATTCATTCAATCAATCATTAAATGAATGAATAAAACTCACAAGCTCAATGACCTGAACCTCGGCATTCATTCTTAGCTTGTATAGAAAGGTTTCAACGTCTTTCTTGATTTGTACGCTATTATCTTGCATTTCTACACATGTTTGTATGTATGTGTGTGTGTGTATATGTACGTGTGTGTATTTACGTGTATGTGTGTGCGTGCGTGTGTGCGTTTAAAAATGTTTAAGAACAACAAACCAGCCACAGTGAAAATTCTCATTTTGCAATTTTTCCAGACTTTATGCTGCATCAGTAAGAAGGGCAGTAGCATCAGAAGGCCTCCATCATCTAGTCGTCATCATCGTCATCATCATCACCGTTGTCGTCATCATCGTCGTCATTTTCGACAAAGCGGTTGTTGTTGTTGTTAACAAATTCACTCGATAAGGAAAACAACAGGCAGAAAATTATCATCATCATTTTCATCCTCACCACCATTCATCATCGTCATCATCATCGTCATCACTGTCATCACCATTATCACCATCATTATCATCATCATCAGCACCACCAAGGATACGGACCACCCACCAAACGTCGATGGTCCCTTTAAACTTCGGCGTGCTGCTATTTGGAAACTGTTCGATGTTTCTCGTTACGAGGAGGGCCAAATTTTTGTTGTTGATCAGACGGATGAGATCTGTGGTGAGGGCGATGATGTAGATGGTGGTGACGTAGATGATGATGATGTAGATGATGGTGACGTAATTGGTGATGCAGATTTAGATGGTAATGACAAAGATTTTGCGATGTTCGTCACAATGAATGTGATGAAGATGATGACAGTGATCGAAGACAAACAAACAAAAACGTTCACACTTAGGCAAACAAACGGACAGACAGATAGACAGAAAAAGAGACCAATAAATTTCCTATTAGCTGTGATATTTTCCCGCCATTTCGAAGGAAAGTTCATGAGGACGGTATTGTGTCTCAGTGTACCTAGCCCAGCTCCTTGCACGCTGCATGCGAACGTTTGCGTAAATGTTTGTGTGAATGTTTGCGTGAATGTTTGAGTGAACGTTTGTGTGAATGTTTGTGTGCGCACGAGTGTGTGTGTGTATACGTGTGTGTGTGTGTTATGTTAAATGTGTGTATATGGTATGCATGCACGCGCGCTTAGTATGTATACATACATACACATCAACAGACACAGGCAAACATCCATATACAGACACACACAAACAAACAAACACTAGCCCACATACAGACACACAAACACACACACACAAACAAACACAAATACACTAACACATAAGTAAGACATTTAGGAACATCTTCGGCCAGTATAACATCGACAAATCCTTTTATCTTTGAGACCTTCATGAAATTTTTGAGGGAGTTTTTAACTTCAGCTGCCTTGGAGCAGTCCACGCCGCAAGAACCTTCCACAACTGTAACCAACATCGTCAGACCTTTCCCTGTCGGAAGAAGAGATGGATGAATGAATGAATGAACGAACGAATGAATGAATGAATGAACGAATGGATGAATGAATGAACGAATGAATGAATGAATGAATGAATGAATGAATAGGTAAAAGAACGTAAAAGTTGAATTATGTGTTATTTAACATTCATCTGATTCAATCAAACCAACCAGTCAACCAACCAACCAACCAACCAGCTTTCAGCTGAGCCGCAAATTCGATTAGATTAGGATACTTGGGCTGATACTTTTCATCGACAGTACAAAGTACCAAGAGTTGGGGCCGCCAGTTTTTCACGTGGGGGTCGTTATCCTCGAGTCGCAGTAGAGCAAATCGGGCCGCGGACATTGAAAGGCCCGTCAATCCGTCGCCCCATTCTTTCTCCGCCCTTTTTTGAGAGGCAAGGCAAAAAATTTGGAATGAAATTTGCAATTTTAAGAATGTGCTGTGTGTGATGCTTCGGTGTGTTTTTGAGATTGTGTGTGGCTGGCGTTCGTATACATGCATACATTTTTGTGCGTGTGTGCCTTTAAGAGCATGTGAATGTGTACTTGGGCACTTTCATTACAAACATCCTGACAAACAAACAAGCAAACGCATACAAACAAACACAAACACACATATACAAACAAACAAACACACAGATGTACAAAGCCCAAAACACACAAACCAACCCCTTGTATTCGATGTATTTGTATAAGAAAGCAGCCAGAGCTATGGCCACCAGTGCAAAGTACCAACTTGACATGAACATCAAAGTCAAACATAGCAGGACACCAAATAATGATAATGACCTTAATGAATGAATGAAGGGATGAATGAATGAATGGAGGGATGAATGAATGAATGGAGGGATGAATGAATGAATGAATGAATGAATAGAAGAGTGAATGAACAAATGAATGAATTGCGTTGAAAATCATAACATTTTTAACGTAGTATTGCATAATTTTTATTTGATTTAATTGATGCTTATAATGATAGCCTTACTATAAAAATTTTATGGCTAATTTCGTTAATCAATCAATCATTCAATCAGTCGTTCATTCATAGCTTCATTCATTCATTAATTCATTCATTCATTCATCCATCCATCAATCCATTCATTTGCTCGTTCATTCATTCATTCATTCATTCATTCATTCATTCATTCATTCATTCATCCGTCGACTGACCAATGGTAGTATTTAAATCTTGGTCGCCAGCTGGGAATTTTTAAGATGGTTTGCAGAGCGCAAGCCATGTTCGTGAAGCAGTAACACATCAGGAAAAACCTAAATAATAATAATAATAATAATAATAATAATAATAATAATATATAATAATATTAATAATAATGATATATAATATTAATAAAATAATAATAATAATAACGATGATGATGATGATAATAATAATAATAGTGACATTGAAAATATTACTGAGTTATAAAATACTACAACAAGTACTACCACTATTACTGCTATTACAACAAAAAACTACTACTCCCACTACAACTACTACTGCTACTACTACAACTGCAACTACAACCACCACTACTACTACAACAACTTCTGCTACTACAACTACTACTGCTACTATTACAACAACTACTACCACTACTACTAATACTACTAATACTACGATTTCAGCTACTACAACTACTGCTACTACTACTACAACGACAACCAACATAGTAATGATAGGTGCTATATAGTCGACATTAGCTAGAAGCACCCCACACTCAGCAATGAAGCCTGTCAGCAGAAGGGCCCTTTTTGGCTCCCCGTTGTTCAGAACTGCAAAAGGGTTCAGGAAGGGTAGAATGCCGTCTGACGCTATGGCCTGTAAGAGTCGGGGGGCACCTTTTATGGCGGATGTGGGGGGGGAAGTTGATTGAAACTATGGTGGAAAGTTGGAGAAGTAAATGGTGGGTGTATGTAGAGTGTCATCAATCAATCAATCAACTAATTTATCAATCAATCAACTAATTTATCAATCAATCAACTAATCAATCAATCAACTAATTAATTAAATAATCAGTCAACTAATCAATCAATCAATCAACTGACCAACTAAACTCTGAAGTCCGGCCCCACACGTAGAGAGGAAGGACCCCACCATGATGACCCAGGGGTTCGGCCAAGACAGGTGGGCAACAATCAGACCACCACCCATACTTTCTCCAAATCTGATGATGATGACGATGTTGCAGATGTTGATGATGGCGATATTGTTAATGATGATGATGATGATGATGATACTGACGCCCCATATAACATACTTATCTCTCAGAAACTGTCCTTCAATGGTTGCTGTAAACAAGAGCATGCAGGAAATATCTGAGTGAGTGAGGGTATAAATGAATGAAAGAAAGAATTTAATGAATGAATGAATGAGTAAATGAATGAATGAATAAGTAAATGAATGAATGAATGAATGAATAACTGTGACCGAGTGAATGAATTTCTAAGTTGTTACACTCGATCATTGATTGATTGATGATCGTCAGTACGACTAACAGACGAATGATGTGGCCAGCACAGCAGATATTGTACCAACGGGGATGGATTTCTGAGCGTCTGCCAGGTCACCTGACCTGTTCGAACCCGCCATGATACCTGTCAATCAATCAATCAATCAATCAATCAATCAATCAATCAATCAATCAATCAATCAATCAATCAATCAATCAACCAATCAATCAACCAATCAATCAATCAATCAATCAATCAATCAATCAAACGATCGATCGATCAATCAATCAACTATCCATCCATTCGTTCAACCATCCATCCATTCAATCAATCAATAGTCAGCCAGCCAGCCAACCAGTGACAGACGGAAAGAATATTCCAATGAGAACAACGAATGAAGTGGCGATGTCAGTAACGATGTCACCCCTGTTGCGATCACCTTTGACCTTTGAACCTATCCTCGTGCCCTCCTCCTCAGAAAAATGGCTCCATATGTTACCTGAACGCGGATGATTATTTACAGGGCTGGTTTGATTGCTAAAATATGAAAAATAAAACCAAATTGAAAGCGAAACTAACGAAGAAAAACGCCGCTTGCTAATCCGGGAATTCCCGGCCTCATCTCGACTGTTGATTGGTTGAGATATTTGCACCAATCATCGTTGTCTTCGTATTCTGGCGAATCACAGTACATGGCGTAGATGAAGCCGTCACGTGATTTGTCGCAACGAACCTCCTCGGTCGTCACATTTTTTATCTTCTTCAGTGCTAGCAGTCTGTCACCGACGAAACAGACCCTGTGAGTTTTTGTGCAGGCGTGAGCAAGGGAGGTATGCATGCGTGTATGTGTTTGCATACACACACACACGCGCGCGCGTACAAACACGTACACCAGCCATCCAACAATTAGACTACCAAACTCACTGAGGGCCCCTTTCGGGGTTCGCCACAAATATTCCGATGTAGACGCAGAGGATGGAGAAGAGAACGCAGAAGAGAACCACAGGCGACAGCTTACTGACGAATTTCACGCCGACAAACACGCACAAAAATTTGATGAACAGAAGCGCCGAGCCGTACACGCGATAGCTGTTGTAGGCGCTGCTCGGGTCGGTTACTGGCCCGAAGATGGCCATATTTGGCGCCATGTATTGCTGTTCGTTTGTGGAGATGTTTGTCGTTGTTTGTTTGTAGGTGTTTTAATGTGAATTGAAGTTTGTTCATTTGTTTGTGCATTTGTTGGTTCGTTCGTTTGTTTGTAAGTCTGTATAGGGTGACTTCGTTATTTAGTTTGTAATTATCGTTGGTTACATTATAAAAAAAACTATCGTAACACCAAACTGAAAACAGCAACAAAATATTATAATTGTATTAAATTTCACTATCATCCTAATAATTAATTCAGGGCCCACCAGTAAGATTTCGACAGCCCCGACGGTGTACATGGAGGAGGCCACCGTAGTGCCCAGGTAAAAAAGGATACCCACGGCACCCCCAAATTCAGGACCCAGGGCCCGCGATATCATGAAGTAGACCCCTCCTCCCGAAACTTCGCCATTCGTCGCTATGGCGCTCATCGATATGGAAGTTGTTAATGTCTGGAATTTTTTTCGTTTGTTTTGTTTGTCTGTTTGTATGTTTGTTTTGTATGCTTGTTTGTTTTGTATGTAGGTTTGTTTTGTATGCTTGTTTGTTTTGTATGCTTGTTTGTTTTGTATGCTTGTTTGTTTCATTCTTAAGATTGTTTCGCTTGTATATTTGCATATGAGTATGAGTGTAACAATGTGAATGCGTACGTTGATCCTATGTGTCCAATGCCTTATGTTATCAAATAAACAATTTCATCTTGACGACGAATTCTTCACAAATCAAATTTTCAAAAAAAAAAAAGGGAGGAGGAACGGACACAACAACAGCACATGAGGACAATGAAGAAACATTGCAGCCAGCCTGCCGTACCAGCCACCCAGACCAATCTTATGAAGAGGATGACGCCAAAGATGTTCTGCACACATGGGAAGAATACGCCCAAAACTGTTCCTAACTTTTTTGCCTAAATTAGTGAATGAGTAATCGAATGAGTAAATAAATGAGAGAATGAGTGAGTAGTAACAGATTGAATGAGAAATAAAATCAACGACAAACATTTTTCTTCTTGAGGGCAGCTTTTTTTCCAAATTTGAAACACTTTGCTGGTTTTTTTAAAGCTTTAGCAGCCTCGATATCGTCGTCGCCGGCACCAGCGTCATCGCCGCCATCTTCCTCCACGTCTCTGTGTACCAAATTTTGAATGACTTCCGTCACGAAGGCGTTCTTTCCGGTGTCATCCTAGAAGATGTTGGTTAGGTTAGGTGGGCCGGGACTATTAACATTTAGGAGGATCTTAGTTGTTGTTTGTCGTTATCGTCACGTCATCATCATAACTACCATCATCATCATCATCATCATCGTCGTCGTCGTTTGTCATCGTCATCATCATCATCGTCACCTCACCATCATCATCATCAGTGCCAGTGAATTTCAGTGCAGTGAATGGATGAGATAAGTGAAGTTAGTTGAGATAAAAAGGAAGATAAATATAAAAGCCAGGCTTGTTATTATAAGAATAATAATAATAATAAAATAATAATAATTTTAGATATTATTATTATTGTTATTATTATCAAAGATGTCAATTATGATATTTAACATTAAGTTCAATTTGCACACGCACGCACACACACGCACGCACGCACACACACAGCTTATAAAGTAGCTAAATGTCTTTCAACAAAATATTCCCATTGAGTTTAATAAATACTATTGTATATGTGTGTGTATTTGTGAATATGCGTGTATATTTGTCCATGTCTGTGTGTATATGTGTGTATGTATGTAATTGTGTATATATGAGTGCATATTTGTGTATGTATGTGTAAATTTGCGTATATACATGTATGCATTTATTACATAAATAAATAACAAATCAAATATTTATATCAAGTTGCATAACACATGAACAAACACTAATTGAATGAATTAGCAAGTAATTAAAAGATAAATATGAAAAAGGAAAGTTGAAAAGATTAGAACTAGACTAGTACTTGAATGAATATATTCATAAATTATTAATGAATGAGTGATTGCACAAAAGTTGAATGAATGAGTGATTGAATGATTGAACGAATGAATGAATAAATGAATGAATGAATGAATGAATGAATGAACGAATGAATGAATAAATGAATGAATGAATGAATGAATGAATGAATGAATGAATGAATGAATGAATGAACAGACAACCTCATAGAGAGCTCTTTGATTGTGCTCAGGAGTTTCTGATTCACTGATTTGGTACATTCTGATTGGAGCTTAATAAAATTTGAAATATGAAATTTTCAACATTGTCATATAGATAGAAATATATATACATATATTTATAATTTTATAAAAATAAAATTTATAACTAATCAACACACAGCACAACATATGCACATATATTCAGGCACACAACATCTCTTACAATACAAACACATACATTTACAAGATACTAGCAAACATACAAACACATACATTCCTACAACACAATGCAAAAAAATACAACATTGACATTTTGTTGTACATTTTTAAAAAATTTTATAATTGATTAATTAATATTAAAATAATTACAATACAACAACTTCTAAATAAATATGCTACACTAAATAAAAAACACCTTTAGGTTGATGTTCATCTTGAACTTTTGTTGAAAAACTCGTCTGTTTTTTAACAAAATTATTAGAAGTGGCCGCCGTTGTGGCAGTTGAAGCTGCATCTGTAGAGGCCGGTTCCTCAGCTTTGTGCACAGAAAACCTGACGGATGATTTCTTTTCCATTTTTCAGCGAAGTAATTTTTGAATAATTTGATGCAAAATTATTATTTTTGATGTTATTTTTCAGTAATTTTCATTTAAATATTTTTATTTAATTTATTTCTGTATTTATTTCATCTTCATTTCATCCCGCCTCCCTCACTGACTAGACAACCGAATAGAAGATGATCCATGGGTCACTTTTAAACGCTTTTTGAATTAAGGTTGGTATATATATGCTACATAAACAACATATAAATTTATATACATACATATAGAATAAAATGTAAATTATTTATATATAAATGTATACACAATATATATATATTATTTTTAATTTATATATGTTTTACAAAATGTATATATTATTTGTATCTTTCTATTTCATTAGATGATGCATTTGCACATCTTTAGCTTTTTATTATGAGATACAATTGAAAAAAACAGGTTTAAATCATGGATACAAATATGCCATAATCATTATTCCTTTGATTTGGATGTTGTAAAACGTTGAAGGTTACTCAATGACGTCATTAGTGACAACTGAACGTATGAAATAATAATTATCTTGATGTTATTGACATCAGCTAATCTCAGCAGTTTCTCTGTTGTTTGTAACAATAGAACCAGTACTTTATAACACAGAGTACAGTACAATCTATACATCACAACCATGGATTTAACTTACGTCTTAACTATTTATATATATCCATGATCACAACATTTTACATACTTCACAGTATATATGCGAATATACAAACATATTTGTATATCAGTATGTCAATATTATGTTATATATGTGTTGTGTTTTTTAGTTGTATTTGAGTGTACGTTTGTATGAATGTGTTGTTTTGTGTATGTATATATGTGTTTGTATGTATATGATTCTGTGTGTGAATGTGTGTTTATCACGGTAGGCGTGAAAACATACAAAACTTTGAATAATTTATTGACAGGTGTTATCACATGCTGTTAAATTCTATCAATTTGTACTCTTCACTGTTATTTATTGAATCAAAACATAACTAATTTGAGACAATTGTTGAAAGATTTTTCAATAGTAGAAAAATCAGAATAAAGACTTGAAAAGTAAAAACTCCAGATACAAACTAACCAAGGGTGTAAATTGGTTCCATATGTAATTAAAGTCTTGTCTTATTTAAGACTTTGTATCATCCAACTTTTTGCAAATCGTGGTCTTCACTTTCTTTAAATTCTGAGTCGCCTGATTCCTAATTTTTCTAATTGTAATTACCCCGCGACCTTTTCTTGACGTTCATTATAAATTTTTTTTAATTTACAAGACTTACAATTATTTCAAAGCATTCGCCTTTTTATCAGTAAAATTTGTAAATACAGATAGTAACTGCAGCCAATTCTTCAGCAGTCCAAACGTTAGCATAGCTGAAACTTCTAAATAACTTCATGACATTTCGAATTAATATTTGCATTTATTTGTCTTTTATGTTTGAATTGTTGTTAGTTGCTCGGTTTTTGTGTTCTTTACTTTATTTTACTCTTTTTTTTAACTTAATGTTTATATCTTACTTGTTGCTTGCTCTCTCTTGCTATTTTATCTCTAACAAGTCTATTTTCTAACTAGCAGAAATTTTTTTAAATTTAAAAAGTTTTAAAAAAATTAGAGCTAAAAGTAAACTTACTAAATATATAAACTAACTTAATAAATTACAGGTAAATTGGTGATTAAACACTAAACAGAAAGATTAAAATTAAACTAAACAGACAAAAAACATGTGTGACAAAAGTGCTAGTGCTAGTAAACAGGAATTAGTGTTGGACACGAAAACAGTGAGAGAAGAAGGGGGAGCAGCAGAGATGTCACCCCCGGTGTCGCCTTCAATCAAGCCTTTCAGAGCCAAAAGAAGTCGAACTCTTTCTGAGTTAGTTTCTTTAGTTTAATTTCTTTAATTATATTATAATTTTTATTTATGTCTGTGGTAAAGTGACATTAGCAAGTGCTTTAGTTTAAAAATGATAATTTATAAATTTGTTACAGCAATAAAAAAGTTTCAAAACAACAGACTGATTAGAAAGTTATCAACCAGTTGTTTCTATCTTTAAATTATTCAATAATAATGGTACTTTACATGGCTGAAAAGATTATATTTTGTTTCTTCATCAGATCAGAGAGAATTCTTGCGGGGCCTTCTTTCTACGGAAAAGTTGATGATTTCTGTAGACAGAAGGGGCATGGCTTTATAAACCCATGTGATGGCGGGGACAAATTATTCTTCCATATATCTGAGTAAGTAAGACAATTTTTTTCAAATTTTAATTTTGATGCGTAAAAGTAAAAAAAAATAAAAATTTGATTTGACTTTTGTTGAAATTTTTTAATAAATAATTTTGTTAACTGTGAAATATTTTTAGCATCGAGGGCGATGTGGTTCCGGTGCCTGGTGATGAGGTGACCTACAAACTTTTCCCCATACCACCGAAAAATCAAAAGCATTCAGCCGTGCATGTCCAGATAACTCGCCCGAAGCCTGAGATTGTGCACGAAACTTGGGATAGCAGAACAAGACCTGAAGATTTTTGACATTGTTGCGTTTGCTCATGATTGGCTGTTTGTTCGTTTCTTCTTGGTGTTTCTGTTGGTTTTTTTGTGATTGGCAGGTCATTTCTTTATTGTGGTTGGATAACTGCTTGTTGTTTTTTTTTCATTACTCTAGTTTTGTTCACACCGTCAAGTTATTTGGTCTGAAATCAAGTCTTCACCTATTGTTACAACCATTACTAATGACTTCTTAATTGTTTGTTTGAAGTTATTACCTTAGTTAACTCCATTCTCATTATTGTTTTCACCATAAAGTTATATATTTTTCTGATTTGTTTGAAAGTTTCACACCAAATAAAAGCAAATAATTAATTAATTGATTCAAATATTGTCTTGCGAAATTGTATTAATTAGCATGGTATCCGTCACATATATTTTTCTTCATTCATTCATTTATGCCCGTTGAAGAAATTTTTTCTTGAATTTCTGAAACAATGGCGGTTTTAAAATTTTGAAGCCAGTTAATTAAGAAACCTATGTTATTGTTTTGTTTGTTAAATTTTGAAAAGTATTATCGCGAAATTATGTATATATACACACACATATATATATATATATATATATATATAATCTTACAAAAGTTTTTTTTAAACATATTTATATTTTTGTATATTCAAACATACAAATTAATATATATCTTTATCTTTTAAGAAACTTTCTATTAAAATCGCCATCTTAATCCTCCAATATATATATATATATATTTGTATGCATATATAGACCATACATACATTTGTATAGATATTAATATTCTTGATTACTGACCATTATTATGAAGTAATATTTTAATTCACACACATCCATCCATCCATCCATGCACTTGATAGTATTTCATTAGCGATTTTTTTTTTTTAAAGTTAATACTAACACTAATGTACGGCTATGAGACGCTTCAATACTGCTATTGCAAAAAGAATACTACGTACTTGTAGTGTGGCTTTTTCCTTACTGGGTAATTGAAAAAGACCATTTACACTATGCTGCTTTGAACAGTTCGGATTATAGTTATAATTATTTATAGTTTTTGCTATATATATATATATATATATATTCGTTTGTGTGTGAGTGTGTGTGTGTGTGTGTGTGTGTGTGTGTGTGTGTGTGTGTGTGTGTGTGTGTGTGTACACGTTACTAAAACAACTAATAATAGTGCTCGGACAGTTTGATTTTGCTTGCGCTCTTGGTGTCGGTGATCATTTATTTAGTATTATTACTAATGATGATTGTTATTATTATTAATATCTTTCTTGTTCTTTCTCTGCTAAATACGGCCATATAAGTATATATATATAAGTATATATTATCTTTATGCGTGTATATACATATACACGTTCATTCTTGTTGAATAGCGTTTTTAAAATTATTCATTATATTCATACATACTTTATATATATATATATATATATATATATATACTGTATTGGTTTATATATATATATATATATACATATATATATATATGTAAATATCCAATATATATATATTTATACAATATTCTATAAATTCTACCGAATGTTTGGCGTTAATACGTTGATATATTCATGTCCCGTTCTTTTTATCATTTCCTCTTTTATTTGGGTTATTTCCTCTATCGTTGCTATGCAGTTATTTGACAGCTTTGATTTTGGAGGATCCTTCCTTGTTATTATCAAAATAATCCATTATCTTCACGTCCCTGATTAATTTATTAATCCCATCTGTCACCTCCGACATCTTAATGTTCATAGGGGTGCAAATGAAACCTAATCCCTTACTCAACAGGCTCATCTGGTCTTCCGTTAGTTGGTGGTTTGAGATGTTCATGACATTCATACGGTTACGCTCTTCCTGCGGACGCGTCCTCCTTACATGTTTTTTTGAGTGAACATCGTGCAGTGGTTTTTACGGTACGCCTCCATAAAGTTCTCCTCGCTCCTACAAGCGTTATTGGATATCGTTTGTCGCCTCATGAACGACTTTATAAGGGCCTGTGAATCCCTTTTTATATTTTCGATGTTGCAGCTGCTGTCCTGGTATGGTAAGATGTTTCTTACTATATCCATTGTCATCTGTCTGTTTGGTTCCTTCGGTGCCGTATTTATTATGATGTTTTTGTGTACCAGATACCCATCTATGCTTTTGGTATCCTTTTCCAGCGAGAGTTTATTCTCTTCTTTAGTTCTTCAACCCCCTTGAAGCAACTGAAAATTATGGTGTTGTTGTCTTCCTTGGTTTTCCATCCAATGGAGCTGGTGGGGATTGGTCTCCTTCCCATCATTGCTGCTCTGGTGGTGGGTGGGATATAGTTTGATGTCTCTCCTTCAGGCATCATATCATCCCCATTTAATTCCTCTATGACCTCCTGTGTCAGGTGGAAGAAATTGTCCAGTGTATACTGTTTCAATGACACATCTTCTTTCTTCTGGTTGCTGTCATTTGCCCTGTCATCCTCCATGTCTGTTTCCCCCTGTACATTGCCCGCTTGGTCCCCATTGGTGTCCACCCTTGCAACCTCCTATGGTATCTGGTTAACATTATTTATATCCTCCAGTTGCTGGTTTGCTGGTTCATCCCCCCAGTCGTTTATAAGTTTATTTTGAATTTTAATAAACTAAACGTTCACCAAAAAACTTTAGTGAGAAAAATTGAAAAAACGAACTACAAACATTAGGTAGAATTTATAGAATATTGTAAAAATTATGGTCTATTACCAAATATATATATATGTATATATATATATATAGATTAAGACTGTCAGAAATGCAATTACTGATGGAATTCACAGCAAAGTGAACATAACGCGGAGCATGCTGGGAATGTCATATATATATATATATATATATATATATATAGAGAGAGAGAGAGAGAGAGGGAAATTTTTTTTGTGTAATCACTTTGCCTCTTCTAATTAATGCTTGCATTCGGTGTTGATGTTTCGAATCCCCGCTGCTCTTTGATTCACTGGTGTGTTATTATTCTGTTGGATGTGTGCGTGCATATGTGTTTGTTTGTGTACGTGTGTATGTGTATATACGTGTGAGTAATGTGTGTTTGGCATGGATTTTTGTCATGGTCATTTTTTCCAAATTTTTTCTTATTACATTGGTGATGTTTAGATTTAGTTTACGTAATTCACTGCTTTTCGTTGTTTTTCAAATCCAGGTAAATAAATGCTCCTGTGTATGTTTGCTAAGAGAACTTTTCAATTCAGTGATGTGGATGTCGCTTTTTGGGTATGATGGTTTATGTTTGTTTAATTGAACTTATTAATTGTTTGTATGTATGTTTGTTTGACTGACTGATTGATTGATTGATTGATTGATTGATTGATTGATTGATTGATTGATTGATTGATTGATTGATTGATTGATTGATTGATTGATTGATTGATTGATTGATTGATTGATTGATTGATTGATTGATTGATTGATTGATTGATTGATTGATTGATTGATTCGTTAACTTTTTTGCATAATGTTTGTACATCAACTTTATTTTTGGAAATAAAATTTGGTTTTCTATAATTGAACTGTTGTATTTTAATACCTTTATAAAAAATACATATTCAATACATTAATTCTTTCTCTCTTCTCTTTCTCTCTCTTTTCTCTCTCTCTCTCTTCTCTCTCTCTCTCTCTATACATATATATATCATATTTTTTGAGAGTCATATGAGTGAAGGACTTTGGTCAACCAAATACAACTGGTTGACTAAATCACATAATTGTTTTATGTTTAAGGAATAAATATGTCAGTTGTATTGTTCGGTTAGAATATATCTATTTAATAAATTGATGGAATGCTACAATAACCGTGGAAAAGAAAGCAAAAATTAACCATATGATAATTATTGTCATCTTGCCGGTTAAGTGTTTTTGGGAAATTCCCAACCTTCCATCTTTGTTATTTTTTTTCTACTTTTATCGTCAGTAAAAACGGTTAATTTGTTAATTAAATTTAGTAAACTTTAATTTTTAAATATTGAAAAAATGCGTTGGAAATTTGATAGAGATAATTACGAGATTTACAAATGTTTCATGTGTCTACACGTCCGTACTGGCACTCTGATCCTAGGACTCTTACATTCGGTCAGTAAGTTCCTCTCTAACTGAACGTACTAACATAGGATAGAATAAACATTACTTTTTAACTTTTCTCCTAATTGATTAGATATGTGTGTCAAAAAATCACTTGAAAATTCTAAAATTTTTCTAATTGATTAGGTTCTGTATATTGGGGTCATTGCTTTCCTCACTTGCTCCTTCTTTCATCCGGAATGGATCCAGAAATTATCGTTCAACAACAACATCACGTCTGGAGAAACTAATCCACTTTTAAACAACAACAACAACTACATCAACAACAACAACAATAAGATGATCAATGTTGTTGATCAGAGCAACAAAAATCCTCCTTTGATGATGCCATTGATGCAAGAAATGAATCATAATAGCATGAATAACATCAACAACAATAATAATTACAGCACTCAAGCTACTACCATACATTATCGCTCCTCAAAAGAGTTCATTTTTGGTAAATTTTTTCATTTATTAATAAATTACAATCTTTCAACTATTCTTATATAACTTACTATCTGTGCTGGCATTTTATTTCATATTTAATTCCACATAAAATATATTTTAAATAATTTATATTAAATATAATAATTATTTTTCAAATATATTTCCAGATAATATTTTGATTCTCCTTTTTCTTTCTATTGGATTTCTGTCTCTCTCCTTAGTTCTTGTTTATGGAACGCTCACAGTAATTTTTTTACATAATAATTTTTTTTTCAGATTAATAATAATTATTTTAAAATATAGAGTAATTAATAATACTAATAAGTATTCATGGTACCGGATCGTGTGCTAAGTTATTGCAATGTGGTAAAAAGAAATAAATTAATGGCTCTCTTTTGAAAATAATAAATAATTTGAATTCTTATTCATATTTCTTTAAAATTTGAGAATTTATCAAACTTAATTATAGTAATTATAATTAATTATAATCATTATATTTAATTTTGGTTATAATTATTTTCATAACTTTAAATTGAAACATTTCCTGGATAAATTTTTCATTTTCCCTTTAAGGGGGTCTCCCAGTATATAACCCCATTTTTCTGTATCCAAGTTTTCACCCTTTGCTTAACTGGAATGACTATGCTGGGTTACTTCTCTGACATTCCTAACCTCAAGAAATGGATCACTTCTATTGTTAGTTTTATTTTAGTATTTTATTTTGTTCTCTTTTGTCTGCTTGTTTATTTGTGTGTGTGTGTGTGTGTGTGTGTGTGTGTGTGTGTGTGTGTCTGCAAGTTTGTGGTGGGATTGGTCCTGTGTATATGCATTCATGCATACAATAATTCTTGGTTTAACAATTAATAATTAATCATTCACTTATTTTACATATTTTATTGGTCCTTTTTTCATTTATCATAAATTTTTATTGATTGATTGACTTACTGATTAATTAGTTGATGGATTGATCAATTGATTGATGGATTGATTGATTGATTGATTGATTGATTGATTGATTGATTGATTGATTGATTGATTGACTGATTGATTGACTGATTGATTGACTGATTGATTGACTGATTGATTGATTGACTGATTGATTGATTGAATTTTATTAATCTTTTTCACAGCCTGATTTTCCATTGAAATCAAAAATCAAGTGCTTGGACAATGATCAGCTGACTTTACTTTCTGTCATCTTCTCTGTCTCCATTCTCTCAATCATGGTCTGTATTCATTATTATTATTATTAATATTATTTTGTTATTGTTGTTATTGTTATTTTTATTATTATTATTGCTGACTTACTGGTTATAATAAGGTGAAATACGTTTGCCGTCTGGTCTGCATTTAATTATATTAGCTGTCCATGAATGAAGATCATGATAATGAGAGCTGATATACAATAGATGAATAAATTACGATAATTAGCCGCTAACAGTGAATGTATTATGTTAATTAGATGTACTGCATTGGTGTGGTGTGGGGCTGTTATAAGTACCTGAAGTACAGGGAGCTATTTTCCGGTTCGTCGGATCGCATCAGGAATTACAATGCCAACCCCAATGCCAACTCTCTTGATGATACAGAGGTTGGTGATTGTTTGTGTGTGTGTGTGTGTGTGCGTGCGTGCTCGCGCTCCTGTGTCTGTCTGTATGTGTTTGTTTGGTCTGTATGTGTTTGTTGATAAACTGTTTAGATGCATGCTCATATGAACAATCCTAGTTGTACCTACCTACATTAGATTGTATGCTTGGTGTGTGTTTGTTCGTTGTTGAGCTTGTTGAAAAACCGTTTAGGTATATCTTTACCCAAGCAGGTTACAATTTTTGTTCTTTTGAGATGAGAATTTTTTGTTGAATGCCTAATCAAATAGATGCTCCTGCCGCCAAAGTACGAAGATGTGATCAGGATGTCACTTGAACAGACTCCTCCCCCTGCTTATCACGACGAAAACTGATTGGCTGTCTAATTGTTTGATTGATTAGTTCATTGATTGAGTGATGGTGGTTGCCTGGCTGATTTAATGATGGAGACTTTGGTAGGTTGGTTAATTTAATGAGATTGGCTGGTTGATTTAACGGTGGTGAGTTTGATTGGATGGTTTATTGACCAATTACTTTGCTAATTGATTGATTGGTCCATTGATTGATTAACATAGATTGATTGTTGTATTGATTGATTAATTGATTGAGTGATTGATTTATTGATTGATGCAGAGAATCTTTAAATTGTAAATGGTTTGACTATTAAAAAAACAATTGTATATGTTAATCTATTGATAACAATCATACATTTTGACTATCCTACTTGATAACTCGTTTTCTCTACATTATTTTTAACTTCTTTGGTTATAGTAGTAATAAAACTAATTATTTTATTATTGCCATTTCAATTTTTTTAATTACTACCCAGTAGTTTGCAGAGTAATTTTTAATAAAGTGGTTTCCACTACGTATGATACGCAGACGTAAATAAAATGATCGGTTAATTAAATTTTTTTCTAAATTTTCTTCCAACTCAACAACTCTTGTAATGTAATAACAATATTTTCATTTTACCATTCTCAATTCACTAACATGGTATTTTATTCCATTTGATCATATATATATATATATATATATATATATATATATATATATATATATATATATATATATATATATATATATATATATATATACAATATTCTATATTTCACCCATTATCAAATTATCAATTTATGACAAAAAAATGACAACCTCTCTTTCAACCCGGCGCTTATCCCACAACGAAAACAAAGAAGTAATAAAAACTAGCATCGTAAATAGTGACAAAGAAGAATATGATGCTATCGATGAAGAAAAGGAGACCAAAGAAGATGACCAGCCAATTAAGAAACCTGACACCTAATTCGCATCAAAGTTCAATTTTACAACACCAAAGTTAATTTTTACAACGTCAAAGTTAATCTTGACAAAGTCAATATTTCCCTATATATACAACAAGGAGCACTGACGATGATTCATTCGGAATCGAAATATGGCCTTATTTGCAGCATGAATTCGAAAAATAAGTTTATTTTGAATTTTAATAAACTAAACGTTCACCAAAAAACTTTAGTGAGAAAAATCGAAAAAACGAACTACAAACATATTAACGCCAAACATTCGGTAGAATTTATAGAATATTGTAAAAATTATGGTCTATTACCAACATATTTATATATATATATATATATATATATATATATATATATATGTTTATCTATATATATGCATCCGAAAATTTATGAAATCTGCATTAATTATGGTCTATTACTAGCATTCACCAAAAAATATATTTATGTGTATATATATATATATATATATATATATATATATATATATTATTAATGAAAATCACAGATTTCATTTTCAACTCAACAAACTTCTCAATGATTTCCAGTCTACCGTTAGAAAAATCGAAAAATTAATCAGGAAGCTAAATAGCTCGGCGGAACAAGCCTTTATTTTCATCAAGAATTGCATTTCTGACAGTCTTAATTCACATTGTACGTCCTAACTCTGGACAACAACAACAACAACAACACACGTTTAGACGACATTTTCCCCGAGATCGGGGGTTGCCGTTTGGCTACCTATGATGAAACCGAAATACCCCTCGACGCCATTCTGCCGGATACTGAGAGCCATTGTCACTTCTGTCATCATAAGTAATTTATTTGGCTAATTTTTACGCAGGGCGCCCTTCCTTACGCAACCACAGTTATAAGCGGTGGGCCTAGCCTTTGATGATCCAACATCACTCACAAGGCAGTGAGGGTCAGTTTAATGTCCTAACTCTGGACGCTAAGCAAAAATTGATTGATTAAAACATATTGTAATTATTTTGTTTACTATCTGCAAATGTAAATGTGTGGTAAGAAATTTATTTTATGTTTTAGTCAATGTTTTGTTCAGTTTTTAATTTTAGAAATTTTTACTTCTTTTTTTTCAATTTTTTTCCCTACAATGCCAATTAAAACTGTTACAAAAATTTAATTTAAATTTGTCTTCTATTGTTTATTTTCTTTCTTTGATTAATTTTCTATTTACATGTGTTTATATGTAGACGCTCTCTAATAATTTCTGTTCTTGTATCTCATTACCTAATATTACTCATTAAAATGACAGAAAGACAAACAAATAATTTTATTCAATTGCGTCATATACAGATATATATATGTACATCTTTTTTTTGTTTTCTATATACATATTTTTTCTTAGAAACATATATATATATATATATATATATATATATATATATATATATATATATATATATATATATATATATATATATATATGTTTGTGTGTGTGTGCATACCTTGTAACAACGAGATGTTATTCTTACCTATTGGTCGCGACACCTCAATTTGAGTTTCTTGGTTATAATAATTGAGTTGTGTTATCTTAAACCTTATTCGGCAGGCTACTGACGAGTCTCGTGAGAGACGAAACGTACGTCTGGCCTATGGCGGGTAATGGTTTACCAATAACATATATATATATATACATATATATATATATATTTATATATGTACTGGATTAAAACTGTCAGAAATGTAATTATTTATGAAAATCACAGCTTGTTAATTTAAAAATTAAACAGGAAGCTAACTAATGCGGAACATGTGATTTTCATCTATAATTGCTTATGTATTTTTTGTATATATATAACATATATTGTTGCTTAACATTTCCTGGTTGAATTGAATTATTGTAATAAATGGTTTAATTAACTAAATTTCATATACTTTTTATTTCTTATTTTATTAACTGTAAGTATGTATGCGTGTATGTGTGTGTTTATGTATGTGTGTGTTTATGTATGTGTGTCATATAGGAATTCGAACAGATATCTCTGATTTTGATAGTATCAGGTTTAAAAATCGAACTATACTATAAACCATAGTGAGTGTTAGTTAAGTAATGCTTAACGATAACCGTTTGATCGCTACAAGATACTATCTTAATCAAAAATTTCAGTTGTAAGATGAAGAAGTAATTATGCAAATGTCATTCTAATTTAACTTTCTGGTAATTTATTCCAAAAACACATGATTTTTATCATGTGATTGTTCACTTTTAATTTATTTAAAACTATTTTCAGAAACGTTTGATGTTCATTATTCGCTATCAAGTTTTAACGATTCGATTTGTGTTTTGAAGCGTTTGAAGCTGTTTATTTTGAAGTTTTGTTTTAATTTTTAAAACAATTATAAATTTTCTATAATTGTTTTGTATATTTTTTTAAATAACTGCTTTTTTTCAAAGTTGGAAATAGTTTTGCAAAATGACTGAAAACGATGGTAATACATATATCTTATTTCGTTGTTTGTTTTTTTCTGTTTACTTTTAAATACAATTTCAACCTCATTTTTCAATCTTCTAACTGATGCCGAGCCTCATTTATTTTATTTTTTCATTCATTTTATTTATTTATTCAAACATCATGATCTAAACAATATGAAAAAACTATTTCCAAACTTGAAATTTGATTCAATCTGTATACAATTCAATAATTTACTTTGTGTGTGTGTTCGTTTTTTAATTAACTTAAATTTTGACTATAGTTTTTTAATTTAATATTTTCATTCCTATTTTAATAAAAATAAACCATGTCCGAACGGGACCCATTGTTAGTGCGATCGAGAGCGCCATCTACATCGTCATCATCTCCAGTTGTCAGTCGAGTTAATGTTTGTGGTATTGTATTGTAATTTAATTTAATTAAAATTTAAAAAATATAATATGTTGCATTTGCTTGAATGAATTTTAATAATATATTATATTGATGAATAATCTGTATTTGAATTTTTTTATTAAATTATTAATTTGAGACGCTTTACAATTTTAAACTAAAATTAACTTGTCTTAAATTACCAGTCTTAAAAAACCTAAAACTGAAATAAAAGATGTTACGTTATAAAATGATGATTAACTATAATTATATCATCAGAATGTAAATATATAATAATAATTTAACATTGATAGTAGTTATCAATAAATTTCTGTTTACATTACATTGTTATGTAATCTGTATGCATTTTTCATTGTTTATATTTGAAATTTAACTACTAGAATTTCATGAAGATATCGTGTGAGTGCGTGTGTGTGTGTGTGTGCGCGTGTGTGTGTGTGTGTGTAGCAGTGATAAATAAAATAAACAAAATCATATGCTTAATGTTAATTAAATATAATCTGTATTTTATTATGTTAGTTAGAATGTTGATATGTTTCCGCCATTGAGAGCAGTTTCTTTATGGTATAGATTAATTTTGTCTTTTAATTTGGTTTCTTTGGTAAATTTAGAGGAAAAAACTTGTATGACATCTCGATATAGATCATATTACATCTCTTAAATTGACTAATTACCCTAATTGAAATATATACGAAATGGTAATATTAATGAGGGTTTTATGAACAATAAAATAGTGTAAAATATGTGAAATCTCCAATTTTGTGGGAAAAAAAATGATGCAGATGTACAGCAGAAGGACAGTCCTACAATCAATAAATGAGGATTCGTTAAATAGCCTCCCAGACGACGATGACAACATCATCCAACTAAGCGACGACAACGATGATCAAAATAGACACGGTGTGGCCACTACTTTTTGCTGCTGTCGAGTTAAAAACGTAGAGGCTGACAACAACGACAATCTTGGTGAAGAGTTTGGCCATCTTGACGCAAAACTTGAGGTGGGTGGGACGAGACAAAGTTCTTTCTGAGATATTTAATTTTCTAAATTTTGAAGGTTTTTTATTATCATCATCAAAGGAAATATTATTTGAGGTGTTTGGTTCTTAGGTGTTTATTTGTTATGTATTTTTTTTTGTCTGAATATTTTCATTTGCTTCTTTTCAAAATTTTAAAAAGACAGAAACATCTGAAAAGAGATTTTTCTTGGTTTTAAAAGAGAGAGAGAGAAAAAAAGAGATGAAAAGGCTAGTGAAAGAGAGAGAGAAGAGAGTGAAAAGAGAGAGAAAGGGAAAGCATTGAATGAGATAATAATTAATTTCTTTTAAAGTGAAATTTGAATTAGAAAGCAGTATGAAACAATTAATAATTGATATCATTTGTTCATTCACGTTGTTGTTATCGGTGTATTTTTGCACCCCCATCAGAGTCTAACCTATGACAACTGTGAAAATGAGGTCTACTTATCAGAGGAGAGGAACATTACATACAATGTACGTTTGTTGTTGCATACAGATACGCACATACATCCACACACACATACATACACGCACACACACATACATACATACGTCCATACATACATACAAACACATACATACATTCCTCACACACACACACACACACACACACACACACACACACACACACACACACACACACACACATACATACATTCATTCAAACAAAACACACATACATCCCACACACACACATACACATAAACAAACACACACACATACATTTCCACATACGTACAAACTAATTTCCTGTCAGAAATTAAAGCTCAAAAGTTTCTCTCGCTGGCTTGTTATGCTGTTGATCGGAGTCGTAACTGCGCTAATAGCCTGCCTGATAGATGTTAGCGTTCATCAATTGTCCCATGTTAAGTTCAGCCTATTGGCTAAATGTATGTTTGTTTATTTTTGTGTGTGTGTGTATGCGTATGTATGTGTGTGTGTTTTGTATGTTTGGATGTATGCGTACAACAAAGGATACACAGTAACGCAGACGCGCATAAAAATATGGTGATTTTTACATTAGCAAAGACGTACATACATGCGTACACTATCTAATAATGAATCCCAAGCACAACTGCTACGTTCGTACACACTTGCAAGCGCGCGCGCACACACATACACGTACACACGCGCGCACACACACAAACACACACACACAAGTCTACAATGAAGGATTAAACATGACCCCAACTGCCTCGTTGTTCCGACCGATGTTGATGTGGTGTGCCTGGAATGTTTCTTTCGTCGCGATTGCCTCCTTCCTTACTGTCTTTGGAGAGGTTGGTTGATTCACTGGATACTCATGAAATAATAACGACTATCTGGGTTGTAATAAAATATAATAAAAATAATATAAAAATATAATTTATGAAATATTTTTCAAGCCCGTAGCGGCTAGCAGTGGCATACCTCAGATCAAGTGCTACCTCAACGGCGTGAAGATACCTAGAGTGGTTAGGATCAAGACCCTTTTTTGCAAGGTCGTCGGGGTCACGTGCTCTGTCCTGGGAGGTCTCGTTGTTGGCAAGGTCGGTTGCTGATTGGTCGAGTGAATGACCTATATTATTGGTTGGTCATGGATTTGTGTGTGGTGTGTGTGTGTGTGATTGTGATGATGAGGGCGATAATGATTGTGATGACGACGACTACGATGATTGTGGTGATGATGATGACGTCACAGGAGGGTCCAATGATCCACTCGGGGGCCGTTGTAGCAGCAGGCATTTCACAGGGGAGATCCACCACTTTTGGTTTTGACCTGAAGGTAGGTTCCTTCATTCATTCGTTTATTCAGTTTCTCCTTCATTCCTTCCTTCATTCATTCGTTCGTTCGTTTATTTATAATGGTTACTAATATTTTCTTTTGGCATTTTTCTAACACAAAATTTTTTTTTTCTCCCCAAACACGAAACACGCAACACAGTCAATACTACCGAACTTCATAACGCAGATGTTCGCGTTTTTTCGAACCGACCAGGAAAAAAGAGATTTTATCTCTGGGGGGGCAGCTGCCGGGGTTTCCGCGGCTTTCGGGGCCCCCATGGGTGGGGTTCTTTTTAGTCTTGAAGAGGGTGCCAGCTTTTGGAATCAATCTCTTACTTGGAGAATTGTTAGTGATTTTTTTTCTGATTGTTTTTTTTCATAGCTAGTTTGCTTGCATGCATAGCTTATTTATTAATATTTTCTTACTCGTTGTTTATTAATTAAATAATTATTTGTTGGTTAATTAATTAATTAATTGCAATTAGTTGCTCATAATTATATTTGTTTCTTCGTTGAGGCAGTTTTTTGCGTCGATAGTCTCAACTTTTGTACTGAACGTGGTCCTGAGCTGGTACCACGGAGTCCCTTGGGAGCTCTCACATCCGGGTCTCATCAATTTCGGGAAATTCCAGGTTCGTAACAACAACAATAATAATATTAATTGTTATTATTATTATTAATATTTGTATTATTATTATTGTGGAAAAATTGTTGTACGTCAGGATATGAAGTATGATATGCGTGAGATTCCGCTCTTCATCTTGATTGGAATCATTGGTGGCCTTTTGGGAGCCCTCTTCAATTACATCAACTTGAAGCTAACACTCTTTAGATTAAAGTTAGTTAGTGTGCTATGGCCGTTTTGGTTTTTATTTTATCATTCCTTATTTATTAGTAGTTTTATTGTAGCTTTGTCTCTATGAAATTTTACAAATTTTAATTATTCTTAGTCCGTTTATAATTTTTTCAACTTTTCCAATTTTATCTCCGCCTGCAGAAACATAAGTAGGGGATGGATGAAGTTCACGGAATGTCTTCTGATTGCCAGCACCAGCACCATGGCCGCATTCCTCCTCATCTATTTCAACAAAGATTGTCAGCCAATAGGAAAAGATCCCAATCCCAATCCTTTACAGGTTTTCCGGGGGTCTAAACTTTCTGGACTTTCCTAACTCTGGATAATGTCCAATCTATTGCGCATTTTTTCATCTCTCTTTCCATTTTTTTAAATTATCGAAACTTATCGCTAATTTTTCTTAATTACGGAAATGAGCGTCACCCGAAAATTACATTGCTTAAGTTTCTAGCGTTTATAGTTTGTTCTTGGGTATGAATTTAAAGGTTTTCGTCTTTAATTAAACAAAAAAGATTGATTTTTTGAATTAATTTTAAAGTGCGTTTAAATTAAATTATTAAGTTATTTTGCCCGGACGGTCATTCTAGTTCAATGGCAACGTTGTGGTTTCAGTCGCCTGAATCTAGTCTCAAGAGTTTGTTCCACGATCCTTTCGGTAAGTTCTTCATCTCTTAAAACTTCTTTCGCTCATTTGTAAAATACTACCGTTCTAATTAACAATGCTAATATTCATATCAATAATTACGAAGTTATTACCTCACAATCACGTATTTTCACCTTATTCTAATTTTTTTAATTTTCTCTCTTTCTCACTTCTCTACTTCCAACAACCCCAGGATCATACGATCACGTAACCCTGCTTCTCTTCTTTGTCGTCTACTTCTTCCTGGCCTGCTGGACATATGGTATGTCGGTGCCCAGCGGAGTTTTCATCCCGTCGTTGGTCATCGGGGCATCTTGGGGACGACTTTTTAGTATCCCCTTGAAATTCATCTGGCCCGGACAGTCCGTTAGTTAGGGACTATTGGTGATTTATAGTTTTTCTAGGGGGTTTTAGGGATGATCACGTAAAATTAGGAATTGGTCGGGTGGATTTTGTGTTGTCTTTTTGAGAGGTTTTTAGAGAACTTTCCGTTTCTGTGAACGTTCATTTGGATTCTGTGTCAGTGTTTTTGTTTTTATGTATTGTTGGTTTTGTTTCTATGTTTGTTTGTGTTTGTTTGTTTGTTGATATATTTATATATTTTATTCTAATCTAAACCAATCAACAATTAGGAATGGATACATCCTGGCAAATTTGCATTGCTTGGAGCTGCATCTCAGCTGGGTAGTTTTCTCACTAATTTTTATAATTACTTTTGTTATTATTATTGTTGTTATTATTATTATTGTTATTATTGTTATCGTTAAAGGTGGCATCGTAAGAATGACACTCAGTCTCACTGTAATTTTAATTGAAGCTACAGGTTTGTCTGTCTTGCGTTGAAATTTTCATCCATATTATTATTATTATTGTTAATTATTATTATATTAATTATAATAATTATTAGGATCCATTATTCATTATTATTATTGTTGTTATAATTAGGCAGTATATCGTTCGGTCTTCCTCTCATGATCGTCCTGATGGTTGCTAAGTGGACTGGAGATTTATTCAACATGGTCAGATTGCTGTATATACACGCACCACACACACACACACACACACACAAACACGTACACAAATAAATACAAGTTTACACACAAATTCACACGTACACACACGCACATACAGGGTATATACGACACACACATACACATACAAGGCGTTCCATTCCTTGGCTGGGAACCTCCAGAGATGACATCTGACACGCTAGCTAGGTAATTCTTTCAATTAATATTATATGAAAGTTACCCTACTACATGACCCAAATAACATAACCCGCTTAACGTGACCCGATTAACTTGACCCAATTAGAGAGGTGATGAGTCATCCGGTGACGACGTTTTGTGAAGTTGAATCAGTGAGGACGGTGGTAGAAACGTTGACGAACGAAAGTCACGATGCATTCCCCGTGGTCAAAAGGTCGATTGGGTCAAGGGTCAGAGTTAAATTTTTTATTATTTTAATAATTATTTCAAATGATTCGTAATTAACAATTATACGCTGTTCATCAGTCTACAGATGAGATTATAATTTGTGAAACGTTCGGACTGTTAACTGGCCTGATAACTAGATCACAGCTCATTGTACTGCTCAATCACAAAGTTAGAACTGCTTGTTACCGTTTTTATATTTCTTGATTTTATTATTATAATTATAAAATTTATGATACTATTTTTGTTTAAAAGTACTTCATTCGACACTACGATGATGAGACGACAAACGAGCAGCTAACATTATCTCACTTTAGAGACATCTACCCTAGATTTCCTAAGATTCAGGTCAGTCTGATGAAATGACCTTGTCTTGGGCAGTGGCTCGATTGCTCTAAATTAATCTAAACCCACACTTACCATGTCTCAATTTAAATGAATCTCAGTCTACATGTTAATCACACGTTCGTAAAATCCTGTTCATTGTTGTATTCTAGTTAGTAGTTAAATTTCAGAGGCTCTAAGTTGATGCTAAGCGTTATACGCTATATAAATTAAACTATAATAATAATTATAATATTTATTAATAATAATAATAATTAATTTGTAGGACGTGGTCCTCTCAGAGGAGGACATGAACCGTCATATTGACCTGCGCAACATCATGAACCCAGCACCGTACACAGTATACGATGTTAGAGTTGTAACATTTCAGATATAACATTTAGTGAAATCACCTTAATGATTAGCTTCCTCGCGATATACATTACAATTTGAATTATTGATATTTTAATATATTAAAATAATATTTTCTTTTAAGAATACGACCTTGCCCCGAATATTCAAGTTATTTAGAGGTCTTGGCTTGTCACACTTAATGGTCATCGACAAGTATAACGAGGTATATATATATATATATATACACGTATATATGAACTCTTATTACGTAATTAATCGTCGTCAATACCTAATCGCTTATCATCACTCACTTAACTACCCTTATTTCCTATGTAATTACTTAATTATTCAATTAATTAGTTAATAGGAATAGTAACCAGGAAAGACCTCGCCAGGTACCATTGCAGTAGGAAGCATTTCTGGAGCAAGCCTGTCGTCTATGAACTACCCATGGCCACACAACAAATCGAGAAATGAAAATAAAATTAGGACCGTCGTCTATATTTAGCATTTATTTAATGTATATGTATATATATATATATTGTATATATACGCAACAATTCAGATATATGTGTATTATATACGTATATTAATGTTTTTTTTAAAGTATGTAGAAATTAAACTAAAATCATGTGCCTTAGTAATTTTAGCATGCATTTATCTACGCACTTTAAATTATTTATTTATTTAATTATTTATTTATTTCATTAACTGTCACAAAACGCATTTATATTATATACGTGAGATCTAAATGCACAGTGATGTAAATATTTATAGACATATATATATGCATATTTATATTGTATTTTAACATTGGTTATTAGGTTGCATTTTAAAATTTTCAAACGAATCTATCTACCACTGCTATTTTTATTTAATTCCGGGTCAATGCAATGCAGCCCCTGAACCCATACTCCACTTAATTTAACATAAATGTTTATACTTTGTGATTTAAAATTTTGTGTGTATATATATATATTTTTGTTAGAAACGGTATTAGAACAAAGATATTTTTAAAAATCATACATTATGTCATTACATAGAATTTTCAAAATGAAAAAAAATGATTTTATGATTTTGATTGCTTCAAAATTTTCTCAGTTTCTTTGGCCTTTGTTTTAAATTCCTCTATTCTAGCCATGTGATGTTTGCTCTGTAGTTAAAAATATTTTTGTTAATTTTTAATCAAAATAAAATTTAATTTGAATAATAAATTAGAAATCAGAAAGTTTAAACAAATTTCTTCATAAAAAAACGAAACAAAGAAATGGAATTTTTTTTAAATAGAAAAAAAAACTGACAGTGATAAATATTTGTACGTCAGTTTCAAAATCTATGCACTCCTCGACTGTTAGGTCTTCAAACTTTTTTCTACTCAAGAGCAAGACGTAGGGACATTTTTTCGAGTGATCCTTATGTTCTTTCCTATATGAAATTCATTTAGTTAGCGTCTAAAAAATAGTTGGTTTAGTTGTTAAATTTGTTAACTAAAACACACAAAAATTAAAGATTACAATAAAGTATACTCAAAGTAAATGTAAACTAAAGATGAATGATTAAAGAAACAGAAATGAAAAACCCTCAGACAAAACAAACATAGGATCATCTGTGATATCCCAGCCATCGAGTTCCTTACAACAGGCAAAACACTTCACTGCATCATCATCATTGTCTTGGTACAACTTGTAGAATCCTGCACTGGCTAACTAAAAATGATGAATTTGAATTAACATAATATTAAAATTAATTAACTTTTAACACTAGCAATTGCTAATGAGTTGATTAATGAGTTTTTTTATTTTTTAAAATAGTTTGTAAACATAGTTTTTTTTAGAGAAGTGAGACTTAGGACTTTGGGTTTTTAGACCTTACAGCTTTTAATAAACAACATATTATACAACATGGTAAAGGTAAGTAAATCTAAATAACTGAATAAAATACTAAATTTACTACTGCACTTTGACTTTATTTCATGAATCACAGCTTAAAATAAATTAATTAAATAAATTAAAATTAAGATTCAAATTTAGTTAAAAAATTTTATTATTTGATTTGTTGGGCATTACAGTTTTTTAAAGACCAGCAAAAAAGTTGATTGAAAGATTGAATAAACAAAGACTAAAAATTAATTACAGATGAATTAACAATTTTGAATTTACATATTTACATTTATTACAGTTTACTACGTTTACAATAGTGATCTGATACCTTCGTTGGAATGCAGGCACCTTCAGTTATCGGCCATTTTTGGAATGTTTGAAGGCGTTTTTCTATGAAAAACATATTCTGGAATAATTCATACTCCTCCATCTTATTTTTGTTTGTTTTTATAAATTGAAAAAATTTATCAAAGAAGAAAATTTTTACGAATTACTTTCCAAAAACAGTTTAAAAAAATTAATTCGCGGGATGGAAATTGTGTAAAAGTGGATTCGATTAATTTCTGTTTCCTTTTAACTGCTTCCACGGTCTCCGAAGGTCGCATTTTGTTTTATAACTAACTCTCATTACGATAAAACACTAAAAGGCAGAATTGGATTTACGATGTATTATAATTTGATATAAATTTCATAAAATCGATCCTAGAACGATTTAATTTGTTTAATTGGGTGACGATTTACACGTGACGAGGTTTTAGGCACGTGTTGGAATTCCACAACTTATAAATAACAACGTCATTATATATATTCGAATATGCTTATCCTATTGATAGCGATCAGGCGAGTTTTTTTAATTTGTGCGCAGTAATTTCGTCAAAAGTTTTGAATTTTTAAAAAGAATTAAATAGAGGGCCTTGGCCGTCAAAATAGCTGGTACGTTTTTAAAGCGATGAGTTTACAATCATTAATTGAAGCAGCAAAGTTTATTGATTGTGTATCAACAACAACAACAAAGGCGACTTCAGATCAAAGTAACGTTTGGATTTTTTAATAAATTGATTTAATTAACCAATTGAATGTTATTATTTTGTTTTGTTTGGTGATGTTTTTGGTGGAATTTGTGATTTAATGCTTTTTTAAATTAAATGTGTAAAAATTAAAAAAGGCTTGCTTGATGACTGTCCTCTCACATGAAACATGCTATCTATTATATATTCATGAGATGAGTGATTGTGTTGTTTGAACTTGAATCTCAATAACTATTTTTTGTTTAGATAAAAGACAAGATAATAATTTCATAGTTTGTTTGAAAAATGATGAAGAAGATGATCTAAATCAGATTGAGCGCTCGCCAAACAGCGTAAAAAACGATAACAGAGACGTAAAAAAGTTTGTTTACATTTTACTTTACTTGGATGGGATTTTCCATGCTGCCATTAAATTTAAAAGTTAATCTAAATAATAAAACAGTTTTTTTGAAAGTTGTTTATAATACTCAATTTTTACACTATTTTACAGAACAAGATCAAAAGAAGCACATAAAAATTTAGAAAAAAATAGGTGAGTAGTTCAAAATTCATCCAATTTGATGCTCAATGCATTCCATATTACATGCATTGTTGACAAGCTAAAAAAAACTTTTGTACAAAAATTATTGCACTAAGTTTGTACAAAAATTTTCAATTAATAGATAATTTTATGTAAATTCAGTCCCAAAACCCTAAAATTAGTAAAATGCTTCTAATATTTTCATCATGCTAGACGTGCCCACATCAGGGACTGCTACAGTAACTTGATTGACGTCTTTCCTATGGGATTCCCTAAGAGACCATCTAATCTTGATATCATTCAGTATGCTATTGGTTACATACAGGTATGCATGTATGTATGTCTCTATAAATGTGTGCGTGTGTGTGTGCGTGCGTGTTTGATTGTGTTTATACACGTGTGCAAATAAATGTTGTAAGATTGCGTCACAATTGACAAGTTCCTTTCAATTCCAATTAATCTTCACAGATATTAGAGCGGGAATTCAAGAGGTTGGACGAAGAGTTGAGGAAGGAATTTGAATTGTTTCAACTGTTGCAAGCCAGACTAGGCGGTACCGATGATGACGTCATGTCAACCTTTTCCTTTTTTGATGACGACGTCGATATTTCCTCAGCCTCCGCATCTTCTGTAGATAACAACACTTTAGACGTTGAAAATACCGTCGCCTACGGCACCGACTCCATTTCGCCTATACCAATTTTGTTGCTAGACCATCAGCAGCAACAACTACTACTACAACAACAACAACAATTTTACATTTTCTGTCCTGTTAGCTTTGAAACACTGTTATCTGCGACGACAGCATTAACGACTACAGCAGCAGCGGTAGTAGCTGCCACAGACGCTAGGCCAGTACCAACAACGACAACGAATAATAATATAATAACATAGTAATAACGAAACATAATTATAACATTAATAATGGTGATAATAATGGTAAAAGTGATGTGAAAGTGACGAGGTGCAATGGTGATGTGAGGAGATTTTAACAGTTGTAGACATCACACGCACGCACGCACACACACATTGTCATTCTTATCGTCGTTTTTTATTTATATTATTATTATTCTAATAAGATAAATAAATATTCCGGTAATCTGCATTACAAACAAATCTATTACAAACACTGCTCAATAGCTATAAATACTTTTGAAATATCTCCAGTTGGTTTCTATAATTTTACTCTTTCATTGTTTAAAGTTAACGACGAGTTGATAGAGACTGTTATAAGGTTATCATACGGCATTTATTGCGACAGAAGCAATTTATGATATAAATATTGAATATATTTCACTGCTCTGTACTTTTATTTTGAATTGAGCATAGTGGTTTTATATTGACATTTCATTATTTCACCATTTCATAGTTTTAATTATTTATTACCCGGGCTTTGAATAAGAGAGTTCTCATTAGCACAAAAAAGAATAAAATACCTCTCTTTCTCTCTCTCTCTCTCTCTCTCTCTCTCTCTCTCTCTCTATCTATCTATCTATCTATCTATCTATCTATCTCGCTTCTTTGCGTATATGAAAGCCATTTATGGCTCATTTTCTATTTGTCGGTATTTAATATTAAAAAGTGATGATTTAAAATTAATGAATGAGCAATGACGTCGTTTCCTTTTCCGCTCAAACAGTAAAGTGAAAGTGGCGTTTTAGTTTTTGAGAATCCTGATAATGATGTTGTGGTTGTTGGTTTTGATAATAATGATGATGATGATGTTGGTTATAACGCTGATGATGATGATGCTGACGATCAAACAAACATACGCAAACTATAAAAAAAAACTGATGACGCTGGCTATGATGATAATGGCGACGACGAAGAAGACGACGTCACGATAACAATTTCCGTCGATGATCACAAAGATGATGACGTCACCGACGATGATGATGATGATTGTATGTCACGTGGTCCATTGAAGAAGATTTGATTGACGGATGCGGTCAACGAACCCGAGACATTCAATTTACTTGGCGACGCCCGCCCGCCATCATTATACCCTTTATCTTTTACTTTTTCCATTACTCACAATCGATGATGATGACGACTACAACGCTGATGGTGGTGGTTATTGTAATCTGTCTGTGTGTGTGTGTGAGAGAATGTGTGTGTGTGTGTGTGTCGGCTACGATTGTATATTCTGTGTATGTGTGTGTGTGTTCGGAAAAATTTTCCAGGTGTCTGAAGTTTTGTGGTTTCTGTTGAGAGTAATGCAAATGGAATATTTGTAATGAGTGTTTCGGAATTTTATAACATGGAGGGGTTAGCCATGAGTTAAAGATTACTTTTAAACTATTGAACTTGAATGTTTGTACATAATGACTGCAATCATGATGATTGTGGCGATGAATATGATTATCACGATGATGAATTATGGTGATAGCTGGTGATGATGTTCACTAATCACCACATCATCGTCCTACTCGTCATTATCATCATCACATCGCCAGTCTATTCGTCTGCTGAAAATAGTTAATTAGGGAGAAAAATTGTCCTGGTGCAACTAACGGCCGCGCAACTACTTTTTCTGATTCAATATTCAATGGCTATAACAGTAAAAGTCGCAATTTACTGAAAGCAATAATTGTAATAGGCTTTGTATGTATGTATGTATGTATGTATGTATGTATGATTTCATGTATGTATGTATGTATGTTTTCATGTTTGTATGTATGTATGTATGTTTTCATGTTTGTATGTATGTATGTATGCTTTCATGTTTGTATGTATGTATGTATGTTTTCATGTTTGTATGTATGTATGCATGTATGGTTGTTTATATGTGAGTGTGAATATGTGTATGTATCCGCATATATGTATATTGTAGTTATACTTTTTCCTAGATGGAAATATTTCTGAATGTTGAATTTTTCTCTGAATTTACGAAATATCTAAGCATATACATAAAAATATTAATTGGCATACATACATATGTATATACATACATACATACATACATACATGCATACATACAAACATGCATACACACATACAAACAAGCAAACAAACATACACACATACAATTGTTTGTGCAAGGTGTGAACGATCGTTCAGACGTTTTGCCCATTACGTTGCCTTCACGGAAGATGGTTGTAAAATTTTTATTGTTGTTGTTGTTGTTGCTGTAGTATTAGTAGTACAGTAGTAGTAGTAATAGTAGTAGTAGTAGTAGTAGTAGTAGTAGTAGTAGTAGTAGTAATAGTAGTAGTAGTAACAGTGGCGTCATTTTCATCATTGCGTTTGTTGTTGGTCAGGTTTTTGTTGTAATAGTAGTAGTAGTAGTAGCGACGACAGCGGATGTAGTAGTAGCAGCTGTAGTAGTAATTATAGCTGCAGCAGTTGTGGTGGCAGTCGTTGCGGTTTACATTTATCATTTTGCTCTTAATTGCTTGCCAATCAAGATGAAACCTGTGTGATGGTACGATAAAAATGTTTTTAGCCAAATTTCTGAGTTAATTATCTACATTTATAAAAGTGGGTTGAACAAACGAACGAACGAACGAACAAATGAATGAATGAATGAGTGAATGAGTGAATGAATGAGTGAGTGAGTGAATGAATAAATCAATCACTCAATCAATCAATCATTCAATGAATGAATGAATGGATGGATGGAGGAGTGAATAGGTAAACCAAATTGAAAATTCAAATTGCTGGACATATGGCAAACTTAAAAAATTTAGGAAAGTTTTTGCACACACACACACAAACACACACACATACACACACATACATACATACATATAAACATACACATACAAACATGTAATAACGTATGCAAAACTAATTATATTTTGCATTACTCGCTTATCTGTCTCAGTAGCTTCTAAGGTGTCCCATCCATCAACACACCTTTACTCATCAAACTTGCACGCGTGCATTCATGTATGCATGCATGCATGCATACATGCATGTATATGTTTGTTTGTATGTTGTTTTGTATGTTCATATGTATTCTAGTGTGAGTCTGAGTGTGTATGTTTCTATATATGCGCTGGTTTTAATATTTGCACGGTCAAAATTGTATGTCTACATACATACGTTCGTTAAAAAACTAGAATCTGAATAAAACAATATACAAGTTACAAATACAAAATTATACAAAAGATAACAAATTTTTACAAAAAAATACAAAGTTATGCCCAAAGAATAAATAAAAACACGAGAAGTGAAATACAATGACAGACATCAAATGCAAACATACGAAATACAAAAATATGCAAAATGTTACAAAAAATTACAAATATTACATACAAAAAACATACAAAAATACATACAAAAAACGTATCAGAAAACATTTTCTGAAGACCACAGATGAATTGACACCTTGGTCCATCCGCACAACGTGAAAAAGAAGGGGAAAAAAATTTTTTTTTAGCACCTTTTAAAGCACTGTTGCATAGAAACCAGTACAATGCTAAGTATTATTACTATGCGTTTGTATGTTTGGCATGTACGTTTTGTATCTTGGTATATATGTTTTTGTATGTTTGTATAGACGTCTTTGTATATTTGTATGTTTGTATAGACGTCTTTGTATATTTGTATATGTGTATGTATGTTTATATGTTTCGCATGTTGTTAATTTTGTAATTAAATATGTAAATAGCTATTCATTTTACTTTGCGGGCTCTCAGACATAAAACACGCATATTGAGGCACACATTCGCACACCACACACACACACACACACACAAACACACACACACACACATGTTTTTTTGGTTCTTATATCCATCTTTTGAAACCACACAAGCTATGCGGAATTGTATGTTTAAATTTTTACGCTCTCTTTCTCATGTCAACATCCATAGAAATCACATCATTCATTTACTGAAGAGGACGACGAAGACGACGAGGAATGAGATGATGATGCTGTTGATGACATTATTATTATTATTATTATTATTATTATTATTATTATTATTATTATTATTATTACACTTGTTCTTATTATTTTTATTATTATTTTTATTATTATTATTATTATTACACTTGTTCTTATTATTTTTATTACTATTATTATTACTATTATTATTATTATTATTATTATTATTATTAATCCAATCTCGCCTTAGATACTTATAACTTCTTTGAATGCGGAATTAAAAGAGCGCTCAAAACTAATCAATAATAATAATCAGTTTTAAAGTTGGAAAGATGACGATGGTGAAGACGATGATAATGATGATGACGATGATGACAATGATGATGATGATGATGATGATGATGATGATGATGATGATGATGATGATGATGGTGGTGGTGGTGATGAGAATGATGATGACGACGATACGAATAGAGATGTAATAACAAAGATCTATCGTTTAAAGGCAGTTAATTATTTACCGAGTGACTGATAATGCGAATTTATTTTAAATTACAAACTCCATTCTGAAAATGTTTTCCCCCATTCAAAACATTTTTTTTGAACTTTCTGGCACGTTGGCTTCACATCCGTTCTTGCGATTATGTAACATTTTTCTCTTGCTTTACTCTATTACTACATGAAATAAAATTACCTCCATTATTTTTACTACTGCTGCCGCTTCTATTACTACTACGACGGTACCTGCAGCTGCTTCTATTACTACTACGACGAGTCCTGTTGCTACTGCTGCTGCTTTTATTACCACTACGACGATTCCTGCTGCTGCTTCTACGGCTACTACTTTTGCCACTACTGCTTTTACTACAGCTAAATACCATTAAATGAATCTTTATTGTGGTTTAATGTTGAGATCGGTAAGCCAATAGTGAAAAATTGTCATGATAATAATATTATCAATAAATAATAATAATAAATAATATAATTATAATAAGGAATAATAAAATAATAGAAATAATAATAATAATAATAATGAAATTGATAATAATATTTTTAATAATAATAAAACTACTAATTCAACTACAAGAACTGTATGTTTGTGTGTATGTGTATGTACTACATCATCGTCATCATCATCAACAACAACAACATCATCATCATCATCATCACCGCGTCCATTAATCACCTTATTAATTATTTTATTAACTAGTTCACTAATAAAAATGTTAACACGTTTATGTTTGTTTGTTAGGTTTTGATGGCTCGTGGACTCTATTATGCGTGTGTATGTGTGTGTGTGCGTGTGTGTGTGCGTGTGTGCCGCGGCTACGATTGTATATCCTGTGTATGTGTGTGTTTGTGTGTGTTTTTGTGTGTGTTTGTGTGTATATGTGTGTTTGTGTGTATATGTGCGTGTTTGTAAGTATGTACGTGCTTGTGTGTATGTGGCCTGAATTTTGTATTAAAGTTGTTGTTTTGTATCATTTGTTTGCAGATTGGTACGTTTAGTTGTTTACATTTTGTATATGTGGTTGTTGTTTTTGTTGTATTTGTGTTTGCTAGTAACACTGTTGGCAGATCAAAGGAAGCCTCCGCTTAATTACTCACTAACTTGTGACTCTATTATCACACGCGGTCCCACACACACACACACACACACACACACACACACACACACACACACACACACACACACACACACACACACACACACACACACATACATACATGCAAATATAAATACATACGCACGCACACACACACATATACATACATCCATACCGACATACACACACACACATATATATATATATACACACACACACACACACACACACACACACACTGAAATAAAAACTCTCTACCAACAAAACTCGATTACATAATGGTCATACGAATCACTCCATGGCAAAAATAAAAAATGGCGGTTATAAGAATGATGATAGTGATAGCAGTGATGATGATGACGTCATAACGACAACAAAAATTTCGTTTTAGCATGATGAGAGTATGACGATTTTGACGCAAAAAAGAAGCAGAAATTTATGCAGAACGTTTTCTTCTGCGAACTTTTAGGGTAAATGTAATTCACTAAAACCACTTAAAAGTAAATTTAAATATAAAATTTTAACTACAGAAAAAAACTCATAACGCAATTAGCTGACATTTTCATCACCAGACATCAATCACATTTCATAAACTCCTCCCATTCACGCTTCAAGCAACACGATGACGTCAGTAGCCTCGCCCATCGACCAATCAAAGCACAGCGATCTCTACGATTAAGATTCCGATTGGCTGGCGCTAAGCGTCACGCTTGTCGCCTGCGACAACGCCTGTGTAAAAATCGATTTTAAAGCGATGTTTTTATCGCGAAATTTTAACTTTTACAATCTTGAGAAGCGTGAGTCTTGTTGAGTTTGAGTGCAAAAATTCAAGCCCAAAGCTTCCAATTTGTCGTCTTACTCTCAGTCGCCGGAATCTAACGAACAAGATTTAGGACAGTGTTAATAAGTGCAAGTGACGTTGTCTCGTGCTTGTCGTTGCTGAAGTTTAGTAGTCTGGCTGCTTTTGTTGTTTTTTTGGCTCTTGTGGCTGTTTGTAAATATCTAATTGTGGCTGTGGTAGTTGTGGCTGTAGTGGTAGTTGTAGTGGTAGTCGTAGCTGTAGTAGTAGCAGTAGTAGTAGGAGTAGTAATAGAAGCGACTGTTGCTGTTTCGTAACTGTTCTCGCTGCTGTTGTTGTTGTCAAATGCCGATAAGTTTTCGACGGATTTCTTGGGATATTGTCAACGATTTTGAGTGCCTAGGTTTTTAGTTTTTAAAAAATTATTTAATTATAATTAAGTATTTTATTTAACTATAATTAAGTATTTTAACACACACATACACACACATACACACACTCACACACACACATCAAAAGATATTCAACAAAACTAGACCGCATTCGATTTTATACAAGTTATTAATAAAACCACGGGTTTCATGTGCGTTAAATTAATCAACGAAAATATACAATCGTTTAACTTATTAATTACTCTATCAACTAATTGATTTAATCTAATCAATCAAATGATTGATCTAATCTAACTAATCAATTGATTGATTTAATTTTGTAAAAAAAATCAATTAAAATTTATTAGACTGTTGAAACAGCCAACCAGCAAACAATCTAACAACCAATCGATCAATCATTAGCATTGTTATCACTACAGCCATATATATATATATATATATATATATATATATATATATATATATAGTTAGGTATTCTGGGTATACATATTAGGTATTTAAAGGTACATACAATCGGTACATCGCTATACTTCCTGACATATAGGTTGGTGTGTAAATACGTATAAAGTTAACGTGTGTATGTGTGTGTTATATTTGTTATAGTATAAGTATAATATAATTTAAATTTATAAATAAAATAGATAAATATATAAATAATTGATTGAATAAATATTCATATAGGCTGAACCTTTTGTCGTTGTCATTGTGGTTGTGTTTCTCATTGGGCAATGATGCTTATGAAGGTTTAATGTAGATTTAAATTGGGCGAATTATCATTTTAGCAGCTTAACTGACTTCTTCGGATTACCATCTAGATCGATCACATCAATAACAACAACAACAACAACAACAACAACAACAATCATAGTATATTCGAAAGCGAAATAAACAACACCCTGGATGCTTTCCTTCTTAGCTCAGCAGTCCAACTCCGCATCAACATCCTCAACAACGACCACCGGAAACGGTTCATTTTTCGATGACGATATTTTCGGTCAGAGGGGGTTTATAACTCCGGGGGGAGGTGCCCCACCTAACTCGTCATCAACCTCATCATCAACCCCTCAGTCGCATCCTCATCGTGGTTTCATGCACCACCATTATCCTCATCACCACCACCCCGGATCTGTGGCAGGTTCCCTGGGTTCGAATGCACACCAGCACCACTTCCCGTTCAGTGGATTTCCAGTTCATCCTTCGCCCCATGATTCCCTGTCTTTTACTGGCGGTTAGTTTGGGTTGTAGTTTGTATTTGTATTATTTTGTGTCTGTATTGTATATCTTTTGTATTTGTATTATTTATGTTTGTATTATATATCTTTTGTGTTTGTATTACGTTATGTCTGTATTGAAGGACTAGATCAATTCTTTGGTGTGTGTTGAATGCTTGTTTGTATTCATTTTGATTGCACGTTCTTGATTGTTTTGTGGCTGTTGTAGTTTTAAGCAGGATTTCACCTATTAAGATTATTACTAAGTTGAATTTTTGGTTTCTGTTTGAGTTCTGGGAGGCTTTCAGCAATAATTCTGCTCAAATGTTGCCTTAAATATTAAAGAAAGACAACCAAAATCAAACACAACACTCAAATAAACATACAAAAGAACATTCAATGAAACAAACACACACACAAACGAACGTACAGACACACATACAAACAAACAAACGTTTAAT